TGACCGCGGGCCATAGCGCCTGGACGATGACCTAGCGCCCCGCAGCCCGTCCGGCCTCGCCAGCGCCCGCGGACCCTCCGCCCCGTGCTCTCAGGACCGCGGGCGCGGTGCCGATCGACGGGTGGGACAATCGCTTCCGTCGTCGGAAGAAGAGTTTCCGTGGATTTTGGTGGGGGGCGGGGGGGTGGGGAGCTTCGTGGCTTTTTTTTCTTCTTTTTTTTTTCCTTCCTGAACATTTGGAGAGGGGAAGTCGGGGAAGGAGGAACAACTGCCCACGAGTGGGACAAGGGGGACCGGGGCTCCCCGGCACTGGGTTCAGGATGGACGTGGCGGACCCACAGCAGCTGGGCATGTTCACGGAGGGAGAGCTGATGTCTGTGGGCATGGACACCTTTATCCATCGCATCGACTCCACTGAAGTTATCTACCAACCTCGGCGTAAGCGGGCTAAGCTCATCGGCAAGTACCTGATGGGGGACCTGCTGGGGGAGGGCTCCTACGGCAAGGTGAAGGAGGTGCTGGATTCCGAGACTCTGTGCCGGAGGGCCGTCAAGATCCTCAAGAAGAAGAAGTTGCGGCGGATTCCCAACGGGGAGGCCAATGTAAAGAAGTAAGTGGAGGAGACCCGGGGTGGGGGGTGGCTGTCTTCGGCTTCTGCCTCCCTCTCTGTCTCTTTCTCTGTCTCTCCCTGGCCCTTTCTGGCCCTTTCTCTCCCTTCCCTTCCCTTTCCTCCCCTCCCTTCCTTCCTGACACTCCCTTTCTCACATCCCTTCCTTTTCCTTCCTTCCTTCCTCCTCTTCCTTCTTTCTTTCCCTTCCTTCCTCGTTTTCTTGCTTCTTCATTACCTTTCTTCCTCCTCTAGCCCCTTCTTTCTCAACTAACCTCAGGCCTGAGTTAAAGCCCAAGCCCTAGCACCAAAAACAACAACAACAACAAAAACCCTGAATCTGATTACAGCCAGTTCCCATGCCCAGCTGGTAGAGGACAGTGTGACTGGGAACCTACAAAAGTGCTTTCCAAAGTCAAGGTGGGTTGTGGCAGCTCAGCACTCTATTAACATGTCCTGGGAAGTGGGTGCAGTCCACTCCCTGTCCCCATGGTCACCCTCCCCCCCCTCACCAACTAGCTTGTGTTTATTTGGGCCGGACAAGTTTGTATGTAGTGGCCAGCAGGTTTTCTGCGCAGTGTGTGGCTGTTACCAGGGCCAGGCGAAATGTGATTTGTTTATCCTGTTGGAAGGGAATCCTGTGGTTGCCAAAAATAATTGTTTGCACCAGCTTATCAGGCAGCAGGAGGGAAACGGATCCCTTTGTCACTTGCCTGGGATGTGAAGCTAGAAACATCCCTGGCTTTGAACACTGGCAAGCCTCCCTGAGCTTCAACTGGCTTTCTGTGCAGGCCTCAGGGCAGTCTTACTTTTTAAGAAGATTTTATTTCTGATCATCCTGCTACCTTAAGGCCTTACTGGCTGGCTGTATGTTTGTAGGGGGCCTTCTTTCTGGTGGAGAAGCTATTATTCCTGAGGGCAGGGCAACCAGGGCCTTGATATCACCACCAGACACCTGCCTGTCCTCTTAACTTCTAAAACTTCATCTGACTGGTTTCTAAGAAGGGACCTTATCTGCTGGGCCTGCAGGACTGGTGGGGCTATACTGCAGAGTGGATGCCTGGTGACCTTGGACAGTGGTTCCCGGAAGGGCCAGCTGCACGTTTCTCCTTCTGTCAGTCTCATCCCTAGCTGACAGTGACCAGCTGGCACCTCACTGGCACCAGGGATCTGACATAGCCCTGTGATGTTGATCTGGCTGGAGCCAAAGTGACATGGGCTAGCTTCAGGTTGAAGTAAAACAAACAGGAAGAGAGATGTTTTCCGTGAAGTGTTTATTGTGCAGCATATGGACATTCAGAAATCCTGGCTACTCAGGAGGCTGAGATCTGAGGATCAGGTTCAAAGCTAGCTTGGGCAGGAAAGTCTATGAGACTCTTATCTCCAATAAACCACTAGAAAACCAGAAGGGGTGCTGTAGTTCAAGTGGTAGAGTGCTAGCCTTGAGCTGAAGAGCGCAGGGACAGTGTCAAGGCCCAGAGTTCAAGCCCCACAACCAACAAAAAAATAAAAAGAAATTAGGGATGGGTGTTCTTGGACCAGGGGGTCAGGTCCCTGCCTGGTGATTTATCTGTGAGATGGAAATTAGGCTGATTGGTCAAAGACTGGTTCTGTGGATCCTCTACAGTGAAGCAGGCCTGGAGGAGAACGCATCAGGGACACAGTAGGTAGGCGTCTCTGGGGCTTGGGGTGCCTCCTCCTTTAGGTGCCAGATTTGAGCTTAATTGCTCACTATTTTATTTTTTTGTCAGTCGTAGTTACTGAACTCAGGGTCTAGGCTTGTCCCTTAGCCCTTCAGCTCAAGGCTAGCGCTTTGCCACTTGAGCCACAGTGCCACTTCTGGCTTTTTCTGCTTACTTGGTGCTGAGGAATCGAACCCAGGGACTCATGCATGCAAGGCAAGCACTCTGCCACTGAGCCACCTTCCCAGCCCTTAACTGCTCACTTTTAAGTCCCTTTTTCATTAAGCCAGAAGATCAGGAGGTGGATATAACCCACAGGCAACCAGTCTGTGTCCTCTGTGGATGGAGTTGGTTGGCTTTTGCTGTGGAAGGCTGGCTATGGAAAGAGCTGTTGTATTCCAGATGCCCTACTCGTGACAGTATTGTCCCTCTTCACTCCCCCAGGTCTTTATCCCCTTTTGATTCAGGGTCTCAGTCCCATCCCTAAACACTAGGAATTGCCTCTGTTCCCACCAGTCTCCTGTAATGGGCCCTGCTCAGCACCTTTGACCCCAGCTCTTCCCCCTGCCGCCTCATGTGTGGTTCTCCAGAGCAGTACTCTTGAGGCAGGAGTTGTTTGTGGCCATCTCCCCATCTGGCCAAGACTGCCCCAGTCACCCTTCCTGCTGCCTGTGTCTGGGAGAGAAGTACCTATCCATCTTCAGGTTCTACAGGTCAAACTAAATAGGGTAAGCTCCTAGCAGTAGAGTTGAGTGGGCTCCAACTGTTTATAGGCCTTTCAGCAATACAACTGAAGGAGGCCTACAACGTTAGCAGGGAGGCTTGGCTTGTAACCGACCCAGGAATGACACTGGCATGATCAGGATACCTGTCTATAATGCAATTTGAGTTTTGTGTGATGTGTACCCTAGATCATATAAAGGAGGTAGAGGAAGTGTGGTCATAGGTGTGGACATTGGGAAAGTGAGCATTCAAACTCCTGGTTTCCTGTACTGAGCTTGTGTGGAGGCCAGAGGTGCAGCACTGAGTCCCGTATCTGTGGAGACGGGTTGGAATACTGCGAAGAAACCCAGGCTTATGCTGTTCATTGGAAGAATAGCAATGGTGGAACCTGGATTGGGACTCGGTACCCAGGTCTACCATTCATGGCTTGTGACCAGCTGGCATCAAACTCAGTGATATGTCCTCATATTTTCAGGCACCATGTGGTGCATATCTCATCAGCCTGGATGCAGAGGCTTTACCTTTGGGAGGGCCTATCAGAAAGGATCCTGGCTACTCAAGAGGCTGTGATCTGAGGATCACAGTTCAGAGCCAGTCCAGGCAGGGAAGTCAGTGACATTTCTCCTCTCCTCTCCTTCCTTCCTTTCTTCCTTCCTTCCTTCCTTCCTTCCTTGTCTGTCCTGGTGCTTGAACTCAGGGCCTGGACACTGTCCCTGAGCGCTTTCCCTCAAAGCTAGCACTTTACCACTTTGAATCACAGTGCCACTTCCAGTTTTCTGGTGGTTAATTGAAGATAAGAGTGTCACAGACTTTCCTGCCCATGCTGGTTTGAACCTTGATCAGAGGTCCTGAGATCTCAGCCCCCTGAGTGGCTAGGATAACATGTGAGTCACTGGCACCTGGTACCATCAGGTTCTTATCTCCAATTAACCACTACAAAACCAGAAGTGGAGCTGTGGCTCAAGTGGTAGAGTGTGCTGGCCTTGAGAAAACAAGAACAAAGCTTAGGGATAGCACCCAGGTCTGGAGTTTAAGATCCAGGATGGGGTGTGTGTGTGCCTAGTGTTCTGCCCACGGTTGCAGCTATGAGATGGAAGTCATCGTGTCCCCTCTCCGTAGCCCCCATTGTGCAGTGAGTAGCCTGCCTCATTCTGGGCTGGTGCCTCACAGGCCACGGTGATGTGAGAAGGGCCTCCTATGTGCCAAGGCAGAAGCGTATTCCTGCCGAGCTCCAGGATCTGGGCTCTGTGGACAGCCTCAGTGCCAGTTAGCTGAAAAGAGAAAGGCCTCTTTGTTTGCATAAAGCTTAATAAACTTGACTCTCTTGTGGTGAAGTGTTCAGAACCTTCCAGTCAAGCCTGTGGAGCCCTGTCTTCCAGTGTGTATTGAAAGCTTTTTTTCTTAGAGTGCAATGTTGTGGCCCTTTGCCAAGGTGGTGGGTGTACAGACAGGTCAAGCCTGCTGGGCATTGTCCTTCCTTCCTGCCTTCTCAGGAAGATTGCCTTGGGACCTGCACCTCTTACTGTGGGAAATGTGTTACATCTACATTGAAAAGGCTCAGTAGGCATCAGAAAGTTAAAAAAAAAAAAAATTGCTGGGCACCGGTGGCTTACGCCCGTAATCCTAGCTACTGAGGAGGCTGAGATCTGAAGATCGTGGTTCAAAGCCAGCCTGGGCAGGAAAGTCCGTGAGACTTTTTTTTTTTTTTGTCAGTTGTGGGGCTTGAACTCTGGGTCTGAGTGCTGTCTCTCAGATCTTCAGCTCAAGGCTGGCGCTCTACCACTTGAGCCACCATGCCACTTCCAGCATTTTCTGTTTATGTGGCGCTCAGGAATTGAACCCAGAGACTCATGCATACAAGGCAAACACTCTACCACTGAGCTACCTTCCCAGCCCCTGTGAGACTCTTTACCTCCAATAAACCACCTGAAAACCGGAAGTGGTGCTGTGGCTCAAGTGGTAGAGCACTTGCCTTGAGCTGAAGAGCTGAGGGACAGTGCCCAGACCCAGAGTTCAAGCTCCACAACCGACCAAAAGAAAGGTGCTCATGGCTCACACCTGTAATATTAGGTATTTAGGAGGATGAAATCTGAGGATTGGGATTTGGAGCAAACCTGGGCAGACAAGTCCTCAAAACCTTTATCTCCAATTAACCAGCAAAAAAGCAGGAAGTGAGCTGGGTGTCAGTGGCTCATGCCTGTAATCCTAGCTACTCAGGATTCTGAGATCTGAGGATCGTGGTTCAAAGCCTGCCCAGGCAGGAAAGTCCATGGAACTAATCTCCAATTAGTCACAGAAAGAGCCAGAAGTTGAGCTGTGGCTCAAGTGGTAGAGTCCTAGCCTTGAGCAAAAGGAGCTCAGGGATAGTGCCCAGGCCAAGAGTTCAACTTCTTAAGACTGAGGGGAGTGGGTAGGGGGGGGACAGGAAGTAGAGCACCAGCCTGGAGTGAAAAAGCTAAGCAAGGACTCCAGGCCCTTAATTTAAGCCCCAAAAGACATATTCTTTCTGTTTCTCTGTCTCTGTCTTTCTCTCTCTCTCTCTCTGTCTGTCTCTCCCCCGCTACCCCTTCCTTTCTTTCTCCTGACTA